TCTGTAATGGGGTGCAGGGCAGACTGGGATGGGTTAGAGAGGAGAGAAGCGTGTGTCTTGCGTCAGCAGAAAGAGTACTGCAGGCACAGCATTTAAAAAAAAAAAAAAAGACCGGAGAGAAACGCTTTGCCCAAGAGGTGACCTCCTCTTCCTAGGACTTGGCTGTCGGTGCCACCAGGGTGACTGCTACATCGAAGGGGAAGAGAGAGAACCGATCATTCAGAGTCGAAGCTGAAATAGTGGGGTTGAGAAGTGGGGGGGTGAGGGGACCCTGCAAGGAGGCCGGGACCACTGCGGGCCGCCTTCGGGAAGGAGAGGATGGAGAGAGAAGGAGTCAGCCTTTGTGGGTCTTCCTCCCCGAACCCTTGGTGGGATGGCGGCGGCGGCGGGTGGTGGTGTCCAGGGATAGGAAGGATGGCAGGCCCTCCTGGGAGGGTTGTGCATTTCTTAGATACCTCAAACTAAGTGCAGTCACCTTCCTTTTTAGTCTCCGACCCCTTCATGTTCACTCCTTTTAAATGAATTGAATAGATGTCTGTGTGCAGTGGGGGAGGGCCAATGAGGCGGGAAGGTTATTTAAATCTCAAATCTTTCATCGGGTTAGGTTTCTGCGAGGAATTGTACTCCTGGGTGACAGGAGCCCTGCCGCTGTCTCATGCTGCTGCTGCATATCCCAATAATAGCAACTCTCTGCAGAGAGCCTTGGGCAGAGTCTTCTTCCCCTACATGTGACAGGCGCTTCCCTTGCTGGAGTGAGAACGAGGACCTCATTGAAGGGGGAGGGAGGCAAGAAGGGAGGAAGTGAGAGAGTAGAGATCCTGCTGCAGTTTCTCACACCTCGAATCTCCTAGCTTGCCCGCCTCTTTACTCTTCTTACTCCACCCCCCCAACTGAATCCTCGGGGACCTTCTCCACCTTCCCTCTCATCCCCCTCAGAGGACTTGGTCTTTATCCTCAGTTTCTCTTGGATGCCCTACAAAAGAGTTTGTGGGGGAGAATAAAGGGAAGGTTCCTTCCTTGACAAAAATAGAAGGTGCGTTTTTCACTTCAACTGCATCTTCAGACCAGGGAGGAGGAAACCTTCTCCAGGAAAAAGAAAAAAAAAAGCTGCCTCCACACAGCTGCAGGGAATTGCTGCTCCTGCCGGCAAGCCTGGTGGTGACACAGCAGCAGCAGTGCAGGGGACACTAATCCTGGCAGAAGCTGCTGCCGTGACAGCAGTGGGGTTTAAATTGGGTAGGGCCCAGAGTGTTGAATTTTTTCTTTTTCTTTTTGGTATGTGTCTCTGTGTATGTTGGGATGAGATGAGACATTAGGAATATAAATAAGGAACTTGACAGATTAGGAATATAGATAAGGAACTTGACATTTACTTTTGATTGATGCCCTAGGGGAAAGGGGACTTTTATAATAATTTAAAAAATATTGGAGTCTCCAACAGCAGAAGAAAAAAAATGACTGAGAAATAATTGTTAGGTCCAGTGCAAAGCAATCCAGAAAATGAGTTTTAGCCCTCACCTGTTATTAGCCTGCAGAATGTCTACCCAACTGAGGCTGAAACTAGTTAGGTGCTAACCTTTCAAGAAAGATGATGGTACTGCTGCTACTGTTTTGTCAACTAATGTAATGGAGTTATAAAACTAAGAGATGGAACACTAGTTAGACAGGCACCAGTGCTGAAGTCAAAGAGGAATATATTAAATGAAGGTTGTTTCAGTGGGAAGAGGACTGATTTAATGGGCATTAGAGTTTTTAGGAGAAGGCAGAAAATATTACACTCCCCTCCTGTATTCTGCCCTGTTTCCCCAAATTCCAAGTCTGGTCATTCAGTAACTTCCCAGCTAGATGTACCATGCTTTGAAGTTGTTCTTATGATTGCTTCTGACTCTCCATTCTCATGAATAAATTGCAGAACTTGCTTTAGCTACCAGTTCTGACTTAAAAAATGTACTAGTGTTTGTCAGCCATTTATTCTATAGACCTGATGCATAGAATTCCCTTGGACGTGAATGAGTTTTGTGACCAAGAGCATTACACTTTGTTTCCTAGAGTAGTTATTTTTACAATAGCCTAAATTACTCTATTTGATGTTGGTTATTATTGTCTGACACAGAAGTGGGGAACCTATGGCCTTCTAGGTCAATTCAGTCAAAGGGACGTACTTGAGGACTTAGAGGGCCACATGTGGCCTCGAAGCTGAAGG